CAAAAAGTGTTTAAATAGTTTTAAGTATTAATTGTTTTAATGTTCTTCAAGATACTACTACAGTTTAGTAGTGCCAAAGGCGAAAAATATAGTTCAATGGTTCGATGTTAAGAAGAAAAGTGTTCACTTCTATGTATTTAACTGCACACAACCCTTATTACTGTCATTATACTTTGAACAATGGGTAAAAAAGGGATATTGCAGAGTGGAATTGTAAAGTCTGCAAAACCAACGTGCACATTGCTGCATCACTCATTTGTGATGGCTGCCTAGAGTGGTTTCACCAAAAATGCGTCGGACTGAATCATGCCTCCAAAACAACATACTGGCATTGTAAATAAAAATTAAATAAAGGCAACAGTAGTATACCGCTATTCGAAATTCATAAATCGATTGAGAAAAAAACAAATCCGGGTTACAAACTAAAACTGAGGGAAACACATCAAATATAAGAGGAGAACAACGACACAACAGAAACTCAACACTAAAATGCAACACACACAGAAACGAACTATAATATAACAATAGCCACTTTCCTGACTTGGTACAGGACATTTTAAGAAAAAATGGTGAGTTGAACCTGGTTTTGTGGCATGCCAAACCTCCCGCTTTTATGGCAACGTCAAACACAACACCAAAACGACAACATCACATGACAGGACCACAATACAAATAAATTTGAGAATATATAGGACAAAGAAACACACGAATAATAGCTAGCAGAAGGTACTAGGCTTAAAATTCAATACGCCAGACGTGCGTCTCGTCCACACAAGACTAACCAGTGACGCTCAGATAAAAAAGTTTGAAAGCCAAAACAAGTACAAAGCTGAAGAGCACCGAGGACCAAAACTTCCAAAAAGTTGCGCCTAACACGGCCAGGATTTTCTGCCTGGGACAAGAACATCCTTATTATTTAGAATAATTTATAATTTTGCAAACAGTAAATATTATAAAATGACTATATAATAGATATACATAATAAAAGCACAAAAAAATATATACAAAGCCAGCAATCTGCAATAGGCTTAATCCTTTCCAACTTGTATATTAGATCAGCTGTATCTTTTATATAAGTGTATTGTTTCTGAACTAAAGGTACTAGAAAATAATCGATATAGCGTCCAATAAATTCCGTGACAGTACCAATCTGAGATATGATTTGCCGACATGGTGGCATTATGTTTTCAATGTTAAACCCATATTTATTGATTTTTACTAATTCCGATTCATTTAATCGGTGTAATTTAGGCAAGATATGCATATACCCAGGCCCATAATTGATTTGATTACCATTATTAAGGTAATTAAATGTGGAGTAATCTAAAACACCTTTGGTGTACATGCCATTGACATATGTATTGATATTACATCTCAGTGATTTTAGGTAAACATTTTCCAATGTTGTGTAATGATTCATCATTTAACAGAGAAGAAATGCCGGACCTCTGTGAAAAACTTAAATTGTTTCGAAATTTTCGAATTTGCATTGAAGATAATTCATACTTTGTATTAAACAGGTAATTTTCAAGGGTGTTGCAGGTTAAAGGTGTTGTGTGGCCAGATTTAACTCTGAAGGAATGAATTTCATCCAAGTTACCGTGATATAAGTAACGACATCTCATTTTCCTGACTAATTCGTCGAAATCATGTAATAAATCCTGCTTTGCCTTTTTGACTGACGGTGAAGGAATACCAAATATTCGTCATCAGTCAATTTTCTATGCGAAAGATTAGCAACCTGTTTTCTAGCTTGTGGTAGCATAAATTTTAGCTTACTTTGCTGCATTGCAGCTTTATTTTTCAGCCTTCGTTTATGTTTATTTCTTTTTGCATATTTCTTATAATGTCTAGCCATTTCTGTGACAGAGACTAGTATCTAAAAGACTATTTTCAATGCAATATCAACAAAACAAAATGGTAGGAGGCGTGGTATATTTGCCTAAACTGATTTTCATTGGCTCAGTTACGTCTGTAATTATGTAAAAAGTAAAAAGTACTTCAATATACATAGCAATTTAATGGAAAATATAAATTCCAAAATTTCATTATAAATAAAAACAATAAATATTATTGTTTTTCTTCACTAGGTATCAAGTGCCAAGCACTCGCTATTTCAAATAAACCAATAAAATATTTATTATTTATTCCTAATTCAGTATAAAGGGAAAACGGTACTATTTATTCTGCCATAGGCGACAATACCAACATTTTCTAAATTTACCACTTTTTATAATAAAAACCTGGACAAAACAGTTATGTGTGGTGTTAGTACTTTATTATTCTGTTTTAAAAATTGAAGACAAATAGTGTCATGGCCAACTTTCAACGGAGCTTGTTTATGTTATCCATGCCCACCGTCATTTTACAACAAATTTATGAAATTTTTGAAGTCTTTTCGAATAATTCTCTAGAAAATATTTCAATGGGTTTCAAAATTTATATTGTAAATATACACACTGCAGTTATTCATAGATAGATAAAAAAAATATATTGTACCCTTACATCCAATCACAGCGCTCCTAAGTTGACTTCCTTCACCTGCCTTGGGTACACCAGAGACATATATACACAGAGATTGGCAACTCCGTGAAATCCCGTTAAAAAACGCGGCCCGGAATGAGATTCTCGTCGATAATTATTCTACAACATGTAGACAAGTCAGGGATGAATAACCTCGGTAGCTAATCAAGAAAAGTAATAGGAAAACTTATTTCAGATCAAATAAATTCTTTTTCTAAAAAACTACTTGAAATAATATATTATATAATAATTTTTTTTTAATGTATTTGATTGAGAAAATATTTTTTTCTTTTTTTCGGCATTTCTTTTAATTTAAAAAGTAAAATCTGGTAATGATCATGATATTACAAGAAACATTTCTTTGCTAAAGTTTGCTTCTAAATTACACAGTGAAATTATGTGTGTCCGATTTTCCGGTCATTATTTCCTTAGAGTTGTGACTGTGGATTCACAGGTGTGCGATTACGCAATTTATTGCCCTCCGATCACCTGAATTTTGCCGGAGGTGAAGTTCTAAGTGGATTGTTACTTGGTAATTGTTTTTACAACTAAACAAATTCTTACATTATTTTAACCATGACCAGAACTTTATTTTAACAGAAACACTGGGCTATACTATGAATAGGGTAAACGGATAGAAAGTCACAGTACAAAAAGTCACAGGACATAAAGTCACAAATTGGATAGGACAAAAAATCACAAATCATGTATTGACAATTGTTTGAATATATAAGAGAAAGATCTTCAAATAATATCTTTTTTTACATTTATTCATTTTTAAGTTCTGGAAATTGTTCATAAGCCTTGATAAATGAAAAATTATTAAATTTTAATCATGCAAATAATATATTTCTTGGCACCATGAAGCCATTTAAGTGCCAAACCACTTTGACATTTTGTTATCATAACAATTATTTGATCATCATTGCATTTTTATTGAATAAATTTTTAATTACAAAGTTGCTTCATATATTATAGTTCAATAAAAAATCAAAAAATTATTTTTAAAATTAGTGTTTTCTTGTTCAGAGAAAAATAATCTCAAAACTGAATTGTGACTTTTCGTCTGTGACTTTTTGTCCGTGACTTTTTGTCCTGTGACTTACTGTCCTACATTCTACTATAGTATTCAATCAGGAACAAAAATAGTCATTTAACATGTCAAAAAAAAAAGAAATCAGAAAGCAACTTTTGTATATAAAAAAAATATGTAGCCAGTAAAATTTTGTCTCGTGGAAAACGGATTTAAATGATTAATTTTTGATTGACCTACAATTACATTATTTGTGGAACCTTTGCATGAATTTCCTAAATGAACGTACATTATGTACAGTGTTGTCGAAATCACTATTTTTGCTGTCATGAAATATTGAATATGAATCTGTCATTATTTGTAGTTTTTTAAGGACTTAATATCACAGACCCTGATTAAAAACAACGTGTATCATAAGTGCAGTAAAATGCTCTGCTGAACTGTAGAATTTTAATGTTCTGTTTCATAGACCACAGAAGTACTGCAACATCCTTATCTTTACTCTTTCCTATCAGGTAGTGAAACTCGAGTTTGAAATTAGAAAGATTTAAAATTGAAGACACGTTTTATCTGATCTTTTGTGGGTTTATGTTTCGGTGCAGTGCTATGTGGGCTGTTATTTTCTTTTCATTTGTCATTTTTTTATCTCTGTTACATGACCTTGTACTTTTTGTATTGCCCCTTGACATCTCCTGCTTCTGTTTAAACCTTTACCACTAATATCTCATCTGGTTTAAATAAAATAGTGTCTCATTCCCAGAATTTGTTATACAGGAATTCATTTTAATATCAGTTTTTTTATAAGCATATAAACTGCTTGGTCTCTTCACACAATTTATGTTTAGGACGAAATGCATCAATAGGTACATACATGTACCAGGTCACCAATATATAAGTACACGTTATGTGCTTTTGACCTCCACAAGAATTCTTAAACATTCATAGATGTGCAAAGAATATTTTTGTCGTTGGGTTGTTGTCTCATTGACATATACCTCACATTTCTGAATAGTCATAGCAGCTGTGCCTTTTCAATTTATTGCAGAAAATATTTGCATTAACATTTTTCAAAATAGGCGAGGTGAAACAGTGATCACAGAATGAGGACATGTAAAACTGAAACAACACAACACAACAGATAAATATAAACAAGCACCATTGCTAAAGGACTGAAACAAACATAGATGATGACTAATATGAGCGACTAGTAGTGTACAAGTAGAGTAAACATTTCTTGCTTCTTATTCTACACATTTTGTCATTTCATGTAAACAATTAAATATGTTATTTTCCGAGGAGAGGAAGGAATTTGTGAAACGAAATATTTTGCCTTTAGTACTGTCAAGTTATATATTCACAGGAGTGTTGTTGAATAAATGAAAATTTCCCTTTTTTACATTATGCTACCTTTATGCTACAAAGGTAGCATTTCCATTCTCATGATATACAATTATGTTCTTATTCAATACTTCAAACGAACATAAAGCATTTACAAAGTAAAAACTCAACACAGTTTTTGGTTATCAGCTCGCCCCGACAGCACAGAAAGCTTATTTTTATTATAAACAATAAACAAATGTCCAATTTGCTGTCATCGACCGCTGCCATCACATATAAACACAATCTACAATAGAAAAATGTTCTATAAGTTGAAGAAAAAATCATTTCGATTTACATACATGTATTTTATCAACTATTTTCTACATAACATACTGATTCACATTCCTATGAAGTCTTAATAAAAGGGGTGGGTGGGTGGGGAAAACGAACCTTTCTGTCGGATAGGCGAACCTCGAATGACAATTCTAGATATCTTATTATAATTTTAGCGCTAAAATTCTAGCATGAAGTTATCATGATTGATATAACTTAAACCGGTAATAACTTACTGATGGTCCAATCAAATTAAACATAAACATGTTTTGATTTAAACACACGTGTTAAAAGTAAACAAATACACGTGTTCCCGAGTAACCTTTATAAATACATTTATGTTCTTATTCAATACTTCAAACGAACATAAAGCATTTACAAAGTAAAAACTCAACACAGTTTTTGGTTATCAGCTCGCCCCGACAGCACAGAAAGCTTCGATTGATAAAGAAAGGGACATAAAGAAAAAGGGGGGACAAACAATATAAATTACAATCCTAAATTCTTAGATACTGACAATCTGTTGAGTATACTCTCTTTAACATAACCATCTTTGGCTTTATCACTTTTCCATCTCCCGTGTTTCTTAAACAACCGGTCATCTATTCCAGCTTCTGCCGCGGCAGTAGCTCCTCCTGACCTCAAACTATGTAAGCCAAACTGTTTTTTATCAAGGCCTAAACTGTCAAGTGCAGATAACAATAACTCTCTGGCTCTGGTGTAAGAAATATGACTACTCTTTCTAAGTTTGTATATATTCAAAGATTTACAATAACAAATAGATCTAAAAATAAAATCATTCGATTCTTCAGGAATGTTAGCTAACTTTAGATAACGCTGAAGTACATCTACCGGGCATGTAATATTCCCTGTTTTTGAAATGACAACATCTTTCCCTTCCCTATATACATCAGTTTTACTCTTGACTAAATGAAGTGTAAGGTAAGTAGGGGAAAACTGTATATCAGACCTTCTCAAGTTAGCTAACTCGGAGAATTTTAAAAAGCCAGCATAGGCTAATAAACACATACATGCTATTCTTACATCTTTTAAATTACAAGTATTATTAGCATATTTACATACAATATTTTTCAAAATATGCGGTGTGATAGGTTCTTTTTTGACAACTGAATGACCTATTTTTCTATGAGCCCCTTCAAGAACAGATGCAACTAGATTATTTTCACTGGGATCAGCAACGCCAGCTAATTTATGTGCCCATTTTATGGCGTAAAAAGCATCATTTAATTTTGAAACCGATTTTGCAGTTTCAGACAAATGAATTAAATATAAAGAAATATGTAAATGAGATGCTGGCAATGGTGAAAAAGAATATTGACTAGTCCACTTACACCATGAATTGAAGGCATATCTATATTTCTTCTGAGTACTCGCAGCCTTGGACGAAAGAAGGAATTCTGGTAACTGTTTGAACAAACTGCTGAGATCATTATTAGAGGCAACTTGTGAATTAAAGTCTGACCAATGTCCTACTGAAAAAATATCTGAAAAACGTAAAATTGCAATAACATTTTATATACATATACAGAGGACGAATTATTAGCATATTTCAGATTTCTATACACAGTAAAATATAATATATATTCAAATATTTCAACGCCAGCTACAATATCTTTATAGATACTAGGGCCATAAACTGTAAAACAAATTACCATGCCTGCTAAAATATCATTATAGATACTAGGGCCATGTCAACATAAACACCCATGCCTGCTACAATATACATATACTAGGGCCATGTCACAAACAGACCATGCCTGCTAAAATATATCTATATATATTAGGGCCATGTCTAAGATGCATCTAGCAAAACAGCCAAAACTGGCGAACCAAACGGTTCAATTCCGAATATCGTATTCTTATTCGAACCTTGCTTATAAATACCATCAGTATTTTTAAACACAATAACATCTTTTACGTAATCTTGATAAATCAGATGTTTATCGAATATCAAAGGCCAGAATGCAGCAGAAATCCACTTAGGCACAACTAACGTGCCTCGAGCTTTACAAGCTATAATGTGTTTAATCGATCGTATCACAAGATTAATTGGTGGAACTAGCCAATTATTTTCATTGGTCCAAACTTGAGAAAATGCATCAACTGCTTCAGAATCAGGTTGCCAAAATAAGGAGTTAAATCTCATAACTTTTCTATTTTCGACACTTGCAAACCTGTCAATCGAATAAGGACCCCACATATCATTTAAAAAATTGAAAAATATATGTGTGACTCCCCAGTCCTCGAAATCAACCATTTTGCTGATATAATCAGCCTTTTCATTTTCTTTTCTGGGAATCCATTGAATGTCAATTGATATTCCTTTTTGAATGCAAAATGAAAAAATAGATTTTGCTATAACATGAAGATTTTCTTTCATACTTCCCGAATTAACAATTTTGACACAATTTTGATTGTCAGTAAACCACTTTATAGTTTTTCCTGTGAAACTATTCTTAAAAGAAAAAAGGGCCAACTCTATAGCTTTCAGCTCTCTCCATGTGGAGCTTTGTACCGTTTCACTACATGTCCACATCTTATGGAAAATCTTATTTTCTAATTCAACGGTGTATGCACCAGCGGCAATATTACTAGCATCTGAGTATATGACAACAGAAGATTTACTGTAATGACATAAATTACGATAGTTAATCATGGTGACATTTTCTAACCAGAACTTTAACTCTGATAAAACCTCGACGGGTTTGTACCCTGTAATGGGAATATCCCACCCAATTCTACTTTCAATTTCCATGTAACAGAACTTTGACATAATTCTAGCCACATTTCCGATTACGGGAGTCATAGAAATAATTCTACCTACAACCTGAGCTAAAGATCTAGCTGTAACATAGGGAAATTTAGCCAAAATTACATTCAATGAGAAAATCAAATCGTCAACTCGACGTTGAGTAATAGATAATTTGTATTCTTTCGAGTTCCAAACTATTCCCAACCATTCTAACTCGGTAACAGGTTTAAAAACAGACTTCTCCTCGTTAATAAGGAAACCAGCATCAATCAAAGACCTTTTTACGAAGGACGATTGCTCATTACATGTATTTTCATCTGGACTCATGCCAAATCCATCATCTAAATACAAAACAACTTTTATACCATTTCCACGCCAAAATTTTACTAGTGGCCTCAAACATTTAGTAAAAATGTACGGACCGGTAGTAATTCCGAAAGCTAAAACAGTATAGCAATAAAATTGACCTTCCCACTGAAAACCTAAGAAAGTCTGTTGCTGTGAGCATATGTCTAAGTGAAAATAACCAGATTTTAAATCAAACTTAAACAGATACATATCTTTGTCAAAATATTGTATAGCTAACTTCCAATCCTCAAATTTTATTTTTTCGCGCTTTATGTGTTTATTCAATTGACTCATATCTAAAATAAGTCGTTTCTTACCGGACTTTTGAGTAGCAACACTCAATGGATTTACCACATATGGTTGAAAAGGCACTTTAATTACGCAACCTATTTGAACTAAATCTTCAATTGACTTTGTGACAAATTCAGTATTCTGCCGTGCTGATCTATTATTTCTGTGGTACATTTTAAAAGGTGTATCTATAAATGGAATAACATAACCATTTTTTATTGTATCAAGCACAAAAGGACAAGCACCTATATTTTCCCAATACTTTACATGACAAGCTAATCTACCTTTCACCCCTTTAAATTTATCATATGACTGACAATTTTCAAAATATTGAACTTGATCTAAAAAAGATTCTATATAATCGTTATCAACAAAACATGTAGAAAATTGGTCATTAATAGTGTCTAAATACTTATCATTCACAATGACTGGAGAGTGACGTTCAGGCCCTACTTTACTACTTCTGGTAGGTTGTGGAGTTGCTGTTGGATGACCTGAGACTGGCGAGAAGAGGACAGTTTTTTCTCCAGTGGCCTTGTTGCTTGCAGTAGTGGCACGTGTCGATTGAGCAAGGCTCACGCCTTGCGAAGCTCCCACGAAAGGGCTGTTGCTGATTACGTTGATAATGCTGAGCGTAAGCAGGGTTACCATAAGATTCCGCAGGTTGTTGACGAGGCGGATTTTTTGGGTAAGGTTGCTGGCGAGATTTTGACTTCTCCTTGGAGGTACGGATAGCTCTGGTCTCAGCTTGTCGTATCTTTCTCTCATCTTCAGAATCTGAAGCCACGGCATTGGATTCGTATTCCCTAACGGTTCCCCAACCAGCAGGGGAAGCATCAGCTATGCGTATTTTCTTATTACGGCTTTTGATCTTATCAGTTATGTCAAGAACTAATCTATAGGCTTGAGTATTGGAGTTAGGGATGAATTTTGAAAGTTTATTAACAGTGTCTAATAATTCCTCGTTAAAGGTGTACTGAATTCTGTTTCCTTCCCCCTTAAATTTTAGAGTGACGTCCTCCTTAATTTTTCTCTTAAGGCAATCTTGTTCTTGTATGAGTTCAGATTTCAACTCACCTAACTTGCTGTCTAAAATTGTCTTAAAAAGCTCTACAGTATCTACCAAATCAGACGACTTATCAGCTGCTTTATGAATATTAGGTGGCGGTAAACTATTATCTCCTTCGAGTAGTATGTCTTCATTCAATTCCAGACGTGGAGAAGATTCGGACATTTTACCAAGTGGCGATTTAAGAAAAAACGAACCTTTCTGTCGGATAGGCGAACCTCGAATGACAATTCTAGATATCTTATTATAATTTTAGCGCTAAAATTCTAGCATGAAGTTATCATGATTGATATAACTTAAACCGGTAATAACTTACTGATGGTCCAATCAAATTAAACATAAACATGTTTTGATTTAAACACACGTGTTAAAAGTAAACAAATACACGTGTTCCCGAGTAACCTTTATAAATACATAGATATTATAGAGTGGCCTTCCAATGATAGTCATACATGTAAATCATTGTCTCATTGGCAATCATACTAAATCATCATATTGTTATACATGTATGTACAAATTATGTACATGCATACTTTGTAAACGTAAAGAAGACAAATGAAGTTGAACACAAGATATTTATTTGCATTTTTATCCGTATAGTCTCTGCACAACTGCCACTTCTGTTTCAAATTCAATAGATTGAATGCAGAGTCTTGTATTTATTCTTAGTTCAATGATGTCACCATCACTTGCACAAAAATCGCATACACATGTACATCAAGTTTGGCATATGAACTATGATATTTGAACTACAATAATGTGGTGTTTTCACAGTCAGGATAAGCACATGTCATTTTCTCTCTTATAAAACCATTTTTTAGTATCACATTGATAGAAGTACATGTAATTGGTCCACTACATGACTGTGCAGTAACATTTGAAAAAAGTCATCACTAATAGTTGTTCCTGTCTGCCAGGGAATCTTTTTTTTTCAATCAGAAAGGCTAGGGAGTCCTACATTCAGCACATGTATGATATTACATCTCTTGTATGCTGCACTGTTAGGTAAATTTGATCAACATCTTTGTTCTTTTATAACATGCAGGATCCTGTTAAAAAAAAAATGCTGTCAGATACTGAATGTAAATATACATGTATATAAACTTGTAAATGTCATCAAAGTGGTGGAAATAATGAAAAAAACAATTTATATACACAAAACAGGTATGACTTGGGAAAGTAATTCCTGTGATCAATGGTGATGGGTACATTTGTTCTTTAAAGATGGACAATTTTATAAACTGTAGCCATGGACAGGTGCCTGTCTTTATATTGAAGAGAATGAAAATGGCTGACAGCTTGAATGGTCATTTTTAATTGTAAATTGCATCAAATATGGTGAAAATATGGAAAAAAACAACTGTTATACACAAATCCAGTATGTCATAAGAAAGTAATTCATGTGCTGGGAATAATTATTCTCTAAAGATGGAAAAGTTTATTGACTGTAGACATGGACAGGGACCTGTCTTTATATTGAAGAGAATGAAAATGGCCGACAGCTTGAATGGTCATTTTTAATTGTAAATTGCATCAAAGCTGGTGAAAATATGGAAAAAACAACTGTTATATACAAATCCAGTATGTCATAAGAAAGTTATTCATGTGCTGGGAATAATTATTCTCTAAAGATGGAAAAGTTTATTGACTGTAGACATGGACAGGGGCCTGTCTTTATATTGAAGAGAATGAAAATGGCCGACAGCTTGAATGGTCATTTTTAATTGTAAATTGCATCAAAGCTGGTGAAAATATGGAAAAAACAACTGTTATACACAAATCCAGTATGTCATAAGAAAGTAATTCATGTGCTGGGAATAATTATTCTCTAAAGATGGAAAAGTTTATTGACTGTAGACATGGACAGGGGCCTGTCTTTATATTGAAGAGAATGAAAATGGCCGACAGCTTGAATGGTCATTTTTAATTGTAAATTGCATCAAAGTGGGTTAAAATATGTAAAAAACAACTGTTATACACAAATCCAGTATGTCATAAGAAAGTAATTCATGTGCTGGGAATAATTATTCTCTAAAGATGGAAAAGTTTATTGACTGTAGACATGGACAGGGGCCTGTCTTTATATTTTAAAAATTGAACGTGGCCGACAGCGAGAATACTGAATTTTAATTGTAAATTGCATCAAAGTGGGTGATTTAATGAAAAATTCAACATATTTACACAAAACCAGTATGTCTTGGGAAAAGTGATTCATCTCATAAATGGTTTTATTCCTTTTCGAATGAAAAGGTTTTAATAAAAAATACGTCCGTGTAAAAATTTTTCATAACGTACAGCTGAGACTACTATAACACAGCGTACAGTCGGCCAAGCTTTCCCCTTATTATTGACCACAATAAAACGTTAATCGTCACAATATTTTAACTAACAATTACTACAAACTGAATAAAACAAGGTAAATAATTTACGAAATTGAAATATATACTTACATTATGCTGTTTTGAAAAGCTTGATGTAAAATAAAAATCGAAGCGCTGGTGAACTTGTCATGATCAGATGCAAAATGGCGATCTCGTTAAAGTCTCGTGTGATGCGTGTTTTTAATTGGATTTCGCTGACCACTGTTACAGTTGCCAATCTCTGTGTATATATGTCTCTGGGTACACAAAAGGCCAACTTAATGCTGGGAAAATGTAATAGTACTATTTTCCCTATAACATTTATGAATGGGTTTAAGCAATGTAGTTTGTTAATCTTTCGCATAGAAAATTAACTGATGACGAGTATTTGGTATTATCTAGAGCTTTGAAATTCATTCCTTCACCGTCAGTCAAAAATGCAAAGCAGGATTTATTACATGATTTCGACGAATTAGTCAGGAAAATGAGATGTCGTTACTTATATCACGGTAACTTGGATGACATTCATCCCTTCAGAGTTAAATCTGGACACACACCATATTTAACCTGCAACACCCTTGAACATTACCGGTTTAATACAAAGTATGAATTATCTTCAATGCAAATTCGAAAATTTCGAAACAATTTAAGTTTTTCACAGAGGTCCGGCATTTCTTCTCTGTTAAATCTGAGACTACTATAACACAGAGATTGGTCACTATAGATTTATTCGATTATCTGAGTCTCCGGTAGTTAGCTACGTTATTTTAACGTAGTTTCGTATTCGACCGTAGCAGACGACATATATCACCTATTACTGAGAATACTATAACAGTATCGGATATTATTATTTTTCTTTTAAAAATAATTTAAAAACAAAATGAATTAATCACAAAAAAAAAGAATATAGTTTTTATCTTTCAAATGCAGTTATCTCTATTCATATTTAAATTTTTGTTTTTAATCATTAATAATTTGTTAATAGTTTGTTATTATGCGGCCACTCTTGAAAATGTGAATGTGATTTATAAATCTTATCAATCTTACAGTTACATTGTTTTGCTACACGTCCGTTAATTGTATCTAATATACAAATATTTTACCTGTAAAGACAGGTAGTCTCAAAAGCATGGGAGATGAATTTTGTTTCACAGCTGGGTGCCCAAGGTACACGAGGCTCCGTTTATTGCAGTAAACTTTTATTCTATACTTGTAAGGTATTTCACTGCTGAGTGCCCAATATACATGTTTATTGTAGTAAACCTTGTCAAATATCGTCGGTGCACTTGTGGTAGGATTCAGGAGAAATAGGGGCAAAAAAAGTATAGAATGGAGAAAAATGTACCGACAAATAAAGAATAGAGAAGAGAAAATAATAAGTTATTAAGATTTAAAGAATAGAGAAAAATGGCATAGAAATTATAGGAAATAAAGAACCCCCATCCAGACCCTCATTCAGATTATTCAACGTAATTTTATTTTTCAAACAAGTTTCAACCCCCCCCCCCCCCCCCCCCCCCCCCCACTTTTTTTAAATTTCCGTCTGATAATTAGGTCAAGTTTTTGCAAACAATGTAATAAGCGGCGATCACAGAAGAGAGAAAAAATTTCATTAAAGGTAAATGAGTAATTTCCTTACGTAACAGATCAGCAAAGAGGTTATAACTGCAATGGATACATAAAGCAAACATAAGCCCTACAAATTATATATATGTTCCCAAAATATCGCCGGCATTTTCATTTTTCAATTCACAATGTCCAGTAACATTGATTTAATGAATCATTTATCATTTAGAAAGCCGATAAAAGTAATAATGTTGTTATTTTAGATAAGGTCATACCTACTTGAAGGCGATCGCCAATTAAATACACAACATTACACCAAATTGGAAAATTTTGACCTTAAAGCACTTAGATGTAATATCAATACATATGTCAAAGGCTTGTACACCAAAGGTGTTATAGATTACTCCACATTTAATTACCTTAATAATGGTAATCAAATCAATTATGGGCCTGGGTATATGCATATCTTGCCTAAAATACACCGATTAAATGAATCGGAATTAGTAAAAATCAATAAATATGGGTTTAACATTGAAAACATAATGCCGCCATGTCGGCCAATCATATCTCAGATTGGTACTGTCACGGAATTATTGGACGCTATATCGATTATTTTCTAGTACCTATAGTACAGAAACAATACACTTATATAAAAGATACGTCTGATCTAATATACAAGTTGGAAAGGATTAAGCCTATTGCAGATTGCTGGCTTTGTAGCTTTGATGTAGTATCAATGTACACTAATTGTCCGATTAATGAATTATTATCAGCAGTTAGAATTTCGTACGATGAGTTTGATAAATCAGATTACAAAATTAAATGCCCACCTACGGATGATTTAATATATCTCCTCTGATCAATTTTAGAAAACAACATTTTTGATTTTAATGGACAGCTTGATAAGCAAAAAAATAGGCG